TATATATATATATATATATATATATATATATATATATATACAGTGTTTAATCTTCAAATGAAAGTAAACAGTCTGATTCCTGTATCCAAATTATGATTTTGCCCTTGTTTCTCTTCAATACAACTAAACATAATAATCAGTACTGACTTACATTATAAAAAACGATCAGAAGAACAAAAACAAACAAATGTTTGATAGACATAAGAATTTTCTCTTCTGTTGTCATATCTTGATTTAAAATAGTAGGTAAGTAACAAGACTGGTAATCATAACAAGAAACATGTTCCAAAAATTTACCTTACATTCCCAGCTTCACTGTGACTTTCACTTAGTTGTGTTGTTCGAGACACAAGATGATCGCAAGGATCGGCTAGAGAAGTTCCAGTGGATGCCCATTCTGAAGTGATAGATGATATCCAGGAGGATCCAAGCTTACTACTTTCAGAGCCAGATGAGCTTCTAACACGATTTGCTGGACGGGAAATTTCATTGTTTCTCGAGGACTTCATTGCACTATTCCAAGTAACAACATCTTAAATAATGAGCACCAAAGATACAAGGTTGAAATACTCTGATGCACGACAAAATGCAGACCTAGCACTTTCGAAAAACATAAGTGACATGACATCCAAAGCAAAGTCTTAGATGGTGTAAAAGTGAATAACCCTTTCTCCTTCACAGAGAAAAAATAGCACAACTTGAGATTTTTTCCCATGACTTAAATGAAACAGATATTTTAAGAAGTGCAAATAATTTATCCTTTATATACCTTAATTGTGCAGCTGATTTACAGCATGAACTATACATTCATCCTAAGATGTAAAAATCCAAAACTTATAAATTATACTGTTTTACTTGTGTTTGCATCATGTAAAAAAAATTCTGAAAATTGAAGCTTAGAAGTATCAACAGATGACTGTAGTGTACAATATGCATTTTCATTTTGTTTAAATCAGTTGTAAAATATGATTGTTCTTTAATTTAATGTGAAAGATAGAACTTTTAAGTTAAAATTTTTTCATGAGTGTCTAAGCACATTCAACAAATTGTTTCTCACAAAAAGTATGATAGGAAAGACTTACTTTAAGATGGTTTCATGCATGTTATGTGCAATCAAAGTATCTTCTGTTTGCATCCACAGCTCACCAGCTCCAGTTGATGCTGAACGGCCAACTTCCATGAAGAAGAAACAGTCTGAGTGTCCACACCTTCGAATGGTTACCAGCTAAAAGTTACATGTATTTTAATGTTTAGTATACTAAACTAATATATCTTTATTGCTATGATAAAATCAACAAACAAGCAGACACATAACAAACTGGTGTCAGAGGTGGGATGGGACCCAATGCTGCTGTGTGGACTTCAGAGCTCTTAACAGTATAACCGTAAAGACCTCATACCCACTGCCAAGAATTGATGATATTCTTGGTGCCCTAAGTAGAGCCAGGTGGTTTTCAACTCTTGACGTAAAGTCGGGTTTCCATCAAGTGAAAATGGCTGAAGCAGATAAACCTAAGATCGCATTTAGTTATGG